GTTCAAACTACCTGAAGTCAAGTAAGCGCTTCAAGTCAGATTTCTAGCTTTGAACAGGAGTATTAATTATTGTAAATATCCCCTTGCACTGGCGTCTTTAATACGGTATTCAGTGTGTGACCTGCCCCTGGCTCGGCTTCTCTGACAGCATACTGACAGCAATTAAATTGTTTTGAGGTTATCGTAATTATACACAGCTGGAAATTTAACGGGTTTTAAGAATTCGCTTTTACATTTGAAGCGGAAAATCAAACGGAATTTAAAATATGTTTTCCATGAGCGATCGAATTATGTCCAAATCAATCGTCATAATTACAAAGCTGCTGTTGAAATCAGATAAAGGCACATGACAACACAAAACCAGGTTTCAATTATTTCAAGAATACTGCTTTTAAAGGGATGTCATTTTATAAAGCTAGATAGCCATTTTGCTGCAAGTTATCTGTCGATGTTTGATTTATATTCCATACATTTAAATTAAATATTCATAATAGGCATCTTTTCCAATCATACAACTCACATCGCTCTCTCAGCAATGATTCTATTGCACTTCAAGAAGTAACACAATACTCAAAGAGATAAAAGACACTACGCTCTCAGTCTGCTTGCTTGTTAATCGCCCAAAACACCATTGAACCGAGGGTAATAGATGTATATAAACTAAAACAAAATATAATATGCAGACATAATATTGCATGTCAAGAAACCTCATATAGAAAGGAAGATGTGTCGCGTCATCGATGACTATGTAATGTGACCAGTGAGAGGTTGAATATGAGTTTCACTTTATATATTTCATCTGAATGTACACTGTTGGTTATTGATCTGAGAGTCTGCTGATATTTGATAACACAAACTTATGTATAAATCATAGTAACTATAATAGGAAACCATTAACTGTGAAGTTTGTCTCGCGATAGCATGTCATATGACACGTTATGGAAGAAAATACCTATTTCGCTCTGTTCTTCAAATGGGCCCAGTGCAATAAACAATACATGAAATTATATGCACTATATCACCACATCACTATATCACCACACTATATCACCGTATCACTATATCACCACATCACTATATATCACCACATATCACCACACCACTATATCACACTATATCCTCACTATATCACCACCTAACTATATCACCACATCGCTATATCACCACATCACTATATCACCACAACACTATATCACCACACATCACTATCACCACCATTTTATCACCACACACACCACACCACTATATCACCACATCACTATATCACCATCACCTAACTATATCACCACATCACTCACTATATCACCACATCGCTATATCACCACATCACTATATCACCACATCACACCACATAACTATATCACCACATCACTATATCACCACATCACTATATCACCACACCACTATATCACCACATCACTATATCACCACATCACTATATCACCACATCACTATATCACCACACCACTATATCACCACATCACTATATCACCACATAACCACACATATCACTCATATATCACCACATCACTATCACCACATATATATCACCACATCACTATATCACCACATCACCACTATATCACCGCTACACCACATCATATATCACCACATCACTATATCACCACATCACTATATCACCACACCGCTATATCACACATCAACTATATCACCACATCACTATATCACTATATCACCACATCACTATATCACCACACCACGATATCGCCACAGCTATATTCACATATCACCACATATCACCACATATATCAACACACTCTATATCACCACATCGCTATATCACCACACCGCTATATCACCACACCACTATATCCCCACCACCACTATATCACCACATCACTATATCACCACATCACTATATCACCACACCACTATATCACCACATACCACTATATCACCACATAACTATATCACCACACCACTATATCACCATATCACCTATATCAACTATATATCACCACACCACTATATATATCACCACATCACGCACCACATCACTATATCACCACACCACTATATCACCACACCACGATATCACAGCTATATCATATATATATCACCACACCTGCCTGCTACAGCACTGCACACACTACAACACTGCATCCATTACTGTCCATACCCCACACATCCTCCTCCTGTACAACACTACACCATATCATGCCAAATCCTTGACGCGGAGGCTCCCGTGCATGTGTGTATTTGTTATAGTTTATGAACTTGTTGGAGTAAATTAGTGTATCCAGCCGAAGTGGCACGATGGTCTTCTCAGTCCCCAGCGACAATGTTGTCCAAACAACCGTTCAACCACTGGCTCCACGGCAGGATGCTCCTAATGGCCCTCATGATGCGCATTATCGCGGAGTTTCAAGTACCCGTGTAATATCAGTTATTCATGACAATATCCCACTTGTACCCCTATGAGTAGGATATCACGGGAACCCGGAAATCTGAGTTTATTCATCAACATCGGCATACCCATCCCTTGGGGTCCAGTTTCATGGTGTGATTTCAGTTGGGTTTTATTTCTATTTCTTCCGGAGGCACAGAAACAATGGTGATGGTTTTTAATGGTTTTGTGGAATATCTGGGAAAACTAATAAATGAATATATAATTCTTTCCTGAAAAGTCGAGGATAAGATGATTCCAATTGTGACTATATTCCTCTGACTGCGACAAACTGAGGTGTCACCAAACTTGTAAATCATTTATGATTCATCACTTCATCACTTCATCACTTTCCTTCTGGTTGTAGTGAGGTATGCCACTGACATGAAGAAATACGATATTGATATCAGGGAAATTGTTGTGGTATTTCACTTCAAAAGGAACGGGAATGAGTAGCTGTGATTGTCTTGAAGTGTTAATGTGTGTTCCAGCAAATGTAGAGGTACAGATTACAGACGTAACTAGATATTTCCAATCCGCGAAGTAGTGATTTCAGAAACATTGAGACACTGAGTGCATTATTAGCGTTGACAACTCAGGATAATAGTGGCTCTGGTTATAGAAGGGTATCTGTAGAAGTGATCATAGAAGAGTACCAGTTGAAGTGAGTATAAGAGTCTCCATAGAAGAGATTATCGAAGAGTTTCAGTAGAAGTTATCATAGAAGAGTATCAGTTGAAGTGAGTATAAGAGTCTCAATAGAAGAGATTATCGAAGAGGTTCAATAGAAATGATCATAGAGGAGTATCAGTTGAAGTGAGTATAAGAGTCTCAATAGAAGAGATTATCGAAGAGTTCAGTAGAAATGATCATAGAAGAGCATCAGTTGAAGTGAGTATAAGAGTCTCAATAGAAGAGATTATCGAAGAGTTCAGTAGAAGTGGTCATAGAAGAGTATCAGTTGAAGTGAGTTTAAGAGTATCAATAGAAGAGATTATCGAAGAGTTCAGTAGAAGTGATCATAGAAGAGTATCAGTTGAAGTGAGTATAAGAGTCTCAGTAGAAGAGATTATCGAAGAGTTCAGTAGAAATGATCATAGAAGAGGATCAGTTGAAGTGAGTATAAGGGTATCAATAGAAGTGATTATCGAAGAGTTCAGTAGAAGTGATCATAGAAGAGTATCAGTTGAAGTGAGTATAAGAGTATCAGTAGAAGAGATTATCGAAGAGTTTAGTAGAAATGATCATAGAAGAGTATCAGTTGAAGTGAGTTTAAGAGTATCAATAGAAGAGATTATCGAAGAGTTCAGTAGAAATGATCATAGAAGAGTATCAGTTGAAGTGAGTTTAAGAGTATCAATAGAAGAGATTATCGAAGAGTTCAGTAGAAGTGATCATAGAAGAGTATCAGTTGAAGTGAGTATAAGAGTATCAATGGAGGAGATTATCGAAGAGTTCAGTAGAAGTGATCATAGAAGAGCATCAGTTGAAGTGAGTATAAGAGTCTCAATGGACTTCAGAAGAGTAACAGAAGTGATAACAGTAGCATTAATCATAGATAAATATTACTAGCAGTAATTATAGGAGAGCAATAGTAGCAGTAATTATAGGAGAGCAATAGTAGCAGTAATTATAGAAGAGGAATAGTAGCCCTTATTATAGAAGAGCAATAGTAGCAGTAATTATAGAAGAGCAATAGTAGCAGTAATTGTAGGAGAATAATAGTGGCAGTTAGTTTAAACATATTTTTATTCACAATGTGAAAAGGATCGAGGACAAGTTCTTACAACTTATGAAACCCTCTCCAAAGATATTTACAATAAATAATTACATCACAAGCAATTATTAGAGACAGAGATTGATTGACAGAGGCGGTTATTATAGAAGAGCAATAGTAGCAGTAATTATAGGAGATTAATAGTGTCAGTAATTATAGGAGATTTATACTTGACGAAGTTATAGAAGGTAACATTGAAGGCGATTATAGAGGCATACCGACTGGTGGAAGATTAGGTACAACATTGTAGTTGCATTTGAGTGAGTTTAGTTTTACGCCGCACACAGCAATATTACAACTATATGGGAGAGTTGCATTTGAGACAGACGGTAGCAATAAAGTAATGGGAGGTTGTGAATGAACCTGTAGTTCTTGTTGTTGGTGTAGCAGTTGTTTCAGTGGACGTTTTTTTTTCTCTTGCCGTGCACTTAATGACATTGGTTTCAGTAGAGATAGAAGAACCGTAGATGTGTTCTATTGGGTGAAGTACTTGTGGTGTAGAAGAGATGCTTGCAAGATAGTACACAACGTTTCGTGTCGGATACTGACTGACTGACTGAGTTTGGTTTTACGCCGCTTTTAGCAATATTCCAGCAACATCACGGCGGGGGACACCAGAAATGGACTTCACACATTGTACCCATGTGGGCATTCGAACCCGGGTCTTCGGCGTGACGAGCCAACGCTTTAACCACTAGGCTACCCCACCGCCCTCGTGTCGGATACAGCTTGGAACCACAATCTACAAGCACTCCGATCTTCTTTCAAACTAATGAATCAGTTAAATCAATGCGTGGTTTAGAAACATTCCCTTACCTGGCCATAGTCTCCGTTTTAACGATAAACCCCTTTGTGGATTATTCCATGTGTAATCTGCATAATCCCCCCGGCAGGTGACGATAATCCATGGCCATGGCGTGTGCTTGGCAAAGCACTAGGACGGACAGCACCAAACAGCTAGCTAGCACCTTCATCCTGCAAATACGTCCACGATTCTCCTCACACTATCACTACTGGTGCTTTAAGTGGCGCTCTCAACAACGCGGGGGCGGTAGCGCGCTGCGCAGTCGGGACGCGACAGGGGGTGGGGGGAGGGAAGGGGCGTGGTCTAAAGATACAGCTTAATCGTCCTGATTTGCTGCGAAAAGAAATTGATCCGTATTGATCCGTGTTGACAATGCTCACTTAGATAGTTCCTCTGGGAAACTGTGGCTGTAACAGAACATTTGTCATTTGCCTTTGCTAATATAAGCAATTTATCCATTACGGTAATGTATTTGTTTATCGATAGATATCTTTACTACTGTCATTTATTCTATTGCTGTAATCAGGTGCAATTAGTCGTGAATATCATAATTAGACCCAGCATACTGTATCAAGTGGAACGTATCAATACAAATATATCAGTTGCAATTATCAATAACGAAATATGTCAGTATGTCCATATTATATTCACAATAAGCAAATACAAGTAATACACGCAGGTACAGGTATCACATGGGTTAAAAAATCAGCGTAGTGTCAACAAAATCAATCTCATATGAAACAATGGTTCATATTACGGCTCACGTCGGGTTGGGTGCAGTTTCTATTGTTGTTTTGAACAGGCAGTGTCTATAGCGACAAGAACATGGCTGACGACGATGACGCATTAAGGATAAAGACCCCTGAGGTCTAAACTTGTGAAATGCCACGGGGACGTGTGTCAATAAAAGGTCAAACTGTCATGAAAAGTATACGGATTAGTTTATAAGACTCCACGACAGTATTTCCCGAATCCCGACTTTGAACAAAGTAACCGGAAATGTGAACACTACACCATTTCACTGCGAACAATGTTACCGGAAATGTGAACACTACACCATTTCACTGTGAACAAAGTAACTGGAAATGTGAACACTACACCATTTCACTGTGAACAATGTTACCGGAAATGTGAACACTACACCATTTCACTGTGAACAATGTTACCGGAAATGTGAACACTACACCATTTCACTGTGAACAATGTTACCGGATATGTGAACACTACACCATTTCACTGTGAACAATGTTACCGGAAATGTAGAACACTACACCATTTCACTGTGAACAATGTTACCGGATATGTGAACACTTCTACACCATTTCACTGTGAACAATGTTACCGGAAATGTGAACACTACACCATTTCACTGTGAACAATGTAACTGGAAATATGAACACTACACCATTTCACAGTCACAGGGGCGTGTCACGCTTAGAAACAGCGTTAGAAAGACGTATAGGTATATAGACCCTTCCCTAGTACTATATCAGTACTAGGGTTGGGTCTATATACCTATACGTCATTCTAATGCTGTTTCTAAGCGTGACACGCCCCTGTGTTCACAGTAACAATGTATCCTAAAATGATGTAACCCTTAAAATGCACAGTGCGTGTAAATAGACAATGTACCTTAATATCGATAGTGTACCCCCGTAACATGAACAATGTACCTTAATATCGATAGTGTACCCCCCTAACACGTGACGGGAGTAATGTATCGTAAAATGTGTACAATTAAAGGAGGAAAATTTAAGCTTAAATTTCGATAACGTATTCCTCCAATATGACCAATATACTTCACATGTGAACAATGAACATGTTGCTGTGCAATCAATATACCCTCAGATATGAAGAGTGAACAATATATATGCAATCAATATTAATGAAACCCTTATTTAAATGTCAATAATAAACCTCTTAAAGCACAGCAATGAACAACTAGGCCCAAACAATATACCTCTAAATAAGGACCATGAACAACTCTTGTACAATCAATGGAATTAATGAAATGAGTATACACATGTAGTATTAAAAATTAAATTTGAACCATTTAAAAGGAACTATTTAAAGGCCAGCAATGAATGTACCCATACATGTGAAAAAACAAATGCAATTGATATAACCATGTAATATGAACAATGAACCACGTAAATGATAACGATGATCATTTATGTGATAACAATATATCATTTTACATGAACAGTGAACCACTGAAATACAATCAACAAACTCCTTAATTAAAGCAATGATCCTCTTAAATACAACAGTCCCATTAAAAACTGACAAAGAATTACATAAAAAAATTTAAACATTATTCCCTTATACCTGAATAATGAACCACTTAAATATAGACATTATTCCCTCAAACCAGAACAATGAACCACTTTAATATAGACATTATTCCCTTAAACCAGAACAATGAACCACTTCAATATAGACATTATTCCCTTAAACCAGAATAATGAACCACTTCAATATAGACATTATTAACCACTTCAATTTCCCTAAAACTAGAATAATGAACCACTTCAATATAGACATTATTCCCTTAAACCTGAATAATGAACCACTTAAATGTAGACATTATTCCCTTAAACCAGAATAATGAACCACTTAAATGTAGACATTATTCCCTTAAATCTGAATAATGAACCACCTAAATGAACATAACTAAAGTGGAGAAAATGTACATATGTTTAGTGCAGTTATAACTGTGCTTACGCTGGAATAGCTGTCGATCTGTGACCTGCTTATTCAAACCGCTCTCATACAGCAATTCTAATGCCCCCGCCGTGATATTGCTGGGATATCGGTAAAAGCGGCGTAAAACTAAACTCACCCACTCACTCATACAGGCACATTGTGGCCCTTAGGCCCTGAGTGGTTAATATAAAATGCGTCCCTGGCGCAGAGCCACCCCCGACAGAACGTGTCTCGCTGACGGTGTACCATTGGTTAGGCTTAGGGTACTTGAGTGGACAAAGGTTAAAGTCATCACAACCCTCAAGCCTACAGTCAAAATGTAAATTAACTTCTTACAAGGTGCATCGTACGAAATTACACGTCGTGTTTTCACACGTTTTATATTGTTAAAAAATATATATCAATTTCGTATTTAGTCATCACGATGTTATTCACACTACTCAATAACATGTACGTTTTGTGAAGTCTCCGTGACTGGACAATGGGAAGGCTCTCATCACTTACATATACTGAAATGACCCTCAGCAGGATAGCGTTTATGTTTCAGCTGTCTTGAGTATACTAATGTTTTGGGGGTTTGTTTCTTGTAAAGACACAGGGGTTTGAAAATCACCTACTTTAAGAGCACCATGTTCCTCTCCACCTCGTAAACAAATGTTTATCTCACGGTTTATTCTCCGGGGTGTCATCCCCAAGCAGCCACGTTTCCCACAACGCACCCTCCTCTTCTGGCGTGATGGTGCTAGCTCGCCGCCTGTGCATGTCAGTGCCAGCTTGGACCAGTGATTTCGTTTTAGCGTCTAAAATAGTTCTTAAATCCCAAAAGCAAAACCGGTCGTTAGGTTAACGTCCTGACCACTTTGACACATGAATCTCTGAATCGAGATAAGGATTCTCATCAAATGTGTTGCCGTTGACCTGCTTTGGTTCCTTATTTCTGTTACAAACAGGCTGTGCGTTGAATTTCTATTCAGATCTACATCAGAAGATAACTCAGATTCAAGCCCACCACTTTCACGTATCATGAATCGAAAATCACCATCGTCCACTGGCTCTCGTACAGACCCTGAAGCAAATATATCCACGAAAGCCCACACAAGTCTAGAAAATGTGGCAAGTCTAGATTTCCTCAGCTTCAGGAAATGAAGAAAGTCTCAGGCTCCTTTTCATTATATATAATTTTTTTTACTATGAACTTTTTTCAGTAAAATATGTTCATTTCAGAGACTAGTTGTTAGTCTACATCGTCCACTGGCTTTTCTTTTCTCATTTTACATTTTGATTTTGCAAGGATATTTTCAAGCTGTGATATTCAGAAAATGAGAGAGGTTAACCAAAACGTTTGGTAGTTGTTTGATCAGTGTATTTTACAATCTGCTGAGAAGCAAGCATCAGTTCATCTGCTGAACTATTCATTTGGTCAAGTGCCCTTTCTAGGTTTTGCGAAACACGCAGCATTTTCCCTTTCGGAGAAATCATCAGTTACATTCAAAATTTCCCCAAAGTCTGAATTAATGTCACTTTCATTTTAAGTTGAGCTTCGGCAAATGTATTTTGAGTGACAAAGACATCGCCAAAAGAATATCCTTCGCCTCACATCGTTAAAACCATTCTTAATATTTTCAATTGTTTTGTACGCCTCAATACGTGCACATGAGACCGTGTTCATAACGTCCAGATTTTGGACGCCAATATTGAAATTGCTGTGTTCGGACGCAAGGATTACAAAAACTAGGACGCCAATATGTATGATTTCAGGTTTAAGGGAATAACTCCCTGAGACTCGGCACTATTCTAGCGGCTGGTAGGGTGCTCGGACTAACGGCCTTGGATCGAACTAGACGCATGAATATTGGCGAGTCTGAGGTGTTGTTTCCATACCTAGTATCACACTACTGGACAGTTCCGGCGCTGCGACAACGTACACCATTAGCGCCAATTAGGTTTCGTTATTCATTCACGGAATACGTCTGGGGAAATATGTGCAAAGCGAAATTCAGAGACAGCGTTGATGCTCCGTAGGTCTTCCTGCATGTTCACTGAGTTACTGTGGACACCTGTCAGGGGCTGTTCATAATATATGGCAAGGGGAGGTGGTGATGATCTTTATGGAGAAGCATGTACAATGTGAATGTCCCCCCTCCCCTAAAATATACGTACAAAGTAAGTGAACTCCCTTGCATATCATGATATCATGTACAAAATCAATGAGCCCCTCCCCTCCCATAATTTGTAAGCATATATTTTTTTAAATGCTGCCCCCACCTACGTACATATTCACATTTGCTACTTTGAACACTGAGTAGGTGCTACTTGAGTATAGGTGTGACAATTGTAAACGTGTGCAGAACCAGTGCTACAGCGCAGGTTGGTAGGCAGATGGCAACAATATAATATACAATATTCCTGTCTTAATGTGGAAAACCCGATGTAATATTGGTTGTCTGGTTGGTTAACGCCGTCGCATGGCTGTGTGGCGTCAGGTTGTAAACGTTGACTGTTTAAGCAGACGGTGTGAAA